AAACAAAAACCCAAGAGGGGAGGAAATAAGAATGCCAAAAAACTACCACTCGCAGCAAAAGCAGGATCCCACACACCAGCTAAGAGGTAGATCAGGTGTGGGCAGGGACCCTGTTCACCTGGCAAAATTTCAATAGTGTTTGCAAGAAAACAAACTCAGTGACTAAACTAAAGACATCTTAATACCCATTTAAGATGCATTCAGAGACCAAAAGCTGAAAGTCATGCTCAAAGCTTTTCTCATTCTGAACACCAAGCAATCATGGGCCAACAGTGCCACCTGAAGGCCAGCGAAGGGAGAAAGATCAGCTCCGGGTCCCCCACCCCGGTAAACTGGGACCCCGGTAAACTATAGACCTCTTTTTCCCTGTTCAGCCCATTTTTCAACCAACTCTTGCTCCATTATGTGGATGTGGATGGGACTGGGTTGGTGCTGTTGGATCTACGGTTCTATTTTTATCGATGACAGATTAACAATTTAATGTCTAAACAGAAACTGGTAACAAAGTAGTACCATACACCTCTAAAAACCTTGAAATTGTCCACAAGTCCCCTGGGAAGCTGCAAAGTTTCACTGCATGCTTTACCTTTTCTCTTCCTTTCACCATTAGAGTAGTTGCTTTTCCACACACTAGTTTAACAAGCCATTTCTTCAATGCCTTGTCTAACTTATATAGCATTACGACATCAGGATATATTTCTACTGTAATCACATAGCTTTTCTACAGATACTTGTAATTGGTCTGGGAACTATAATGTACTATAATGTTTTCATGTTCTCAATTCCAAAGCTTTTTAAAAATAGGCGGCATGGATCCTGTTGATTGGCTCTGTCATACACTGCCTGTGTTTCTAAGGGTTACTTATCATCTCTAAATCTGGGCTGGCTTTTTCTTTTCTTCTTTTTTTTTCTGTGTTAAAGTTTTATTAAATTTCAATACAAAAACATTCCAAAAAGTTATCTATAATGTCTAAGAGTTCTGTGTCAAACAGGGAAGACATTTTATCATTCCATTTCTTTATAGTCAATAGTCAAGACTTAATCTTTTCTCAATGGGAGCAAAATTAAACCTGCTGGGTTTGTAAACAGTCAAAAAGGCTGGGCTGGCTTTTTCTGAAAACAGTGCTTGCAGATTGGGCTGGGGGTGGGAGGTCCTTACATTTGAAAGTTGTCTTGGAGAACTACAGTGAGAAATGATGAAGTAGCACAGAGAAGATAGTAATTTAGGTAAAACCTTCCTGGGGTCAGGGATATAGCCTAGCGGTCCAATGCCTGCCGGTAAGTGCGAGGTTCTGAGCTCAATTCCTGGTACTCAACTCTTTGCAAGTTTGATGTTCCTATGTTCCGCACAGACACATCTGTTGATTACTTGTCATTGGTTAGTCATGGGAAAAGAAAAAAAAACACTGTAAGTTAGGCCTGTACAGTGCCTCCCTTCAATGGTTTCTGCACTTACAAAGCCTGAGAATCAGAGAAACCTGGGGAGGAGGCACTGGCACCTTGGTAACACAAAAAGTAGCTAAGAGGGCCGTGGTCACCGTGGCCATCACAGATTGCTAAACTATCTTCATGCCTATTTTGCAATAAGGTGGATTACTGGGATGTATCACTCCTAAGTAGTAGGATCACATTAGAAATCAGTTGGAACATGGTTATACCACAAAACCTGAGTCCTGAAATGTTATGACAGAGAAAGGGAATAAGCCCCTTTATACCTGAGTTCTGTAATAGAAGCAAAGAACCATTTGCTAAACGAGGGGAAACTGAAAATGCTTAAAAGTTACCAACACCACTGCTATTTTCCTTCCACAGAGCAGACACTTGTCACTGATAGGGAATGACAGAGGAACTTGATGTGTCCCCCCCCCCCCTTTTTTTAAACATAGGCTAAAGGTTTTGCTGTAAGTTTGGTCTCAAGACTGACAAATGATCATTCGTTTATTAGCTTTAAATTAAAAAAATGAAAAACGCTTACTTAGGCCTTTTCAGGACTCTGGTAAAATTTCCTTATTTTACTTAAAAGAAAAGAGAACATGATGACCATGTTCATGACATTAAAGTAAAAGGCAAATAATTTACATGTCAATTAGATTTTGATTCACATAAAAGCATTTTAAGAGGTCAAAATAGTGGCTTTCAAATGTCATTTTTCTTTAAATGTGAAACTAAATTATAGTTTTGTGGAGAAACAATAACTGCAGTTGACCATGTTAAGCAGAACAAATTACAATATTCACATATGCTAAGCAAAACAAGCCCATACATGTAAATTCTCATACTCTTTTCCCTTTGGCATAACAGGGCAAGTTTCTTTCATCTTTCTGATGAATTTCAGTGCATTATTGAAATACATCTTCATGCATTTATTGGTTTTATTTATTTTTTGGTGGAACCAGGGATTGAACTCTGGCCCTTGCGTTTGCCAGGGAAGTGCTTATCCCACTGAGCCATCTCCCTGGCCCCTCATGCATTTAAAAAGTCATTATATTTCAGTAATTGGCGTTGAGCTGGGGTTGCCTTTTTCTCTCTGAAAGGTGAGGATGAAGTGCAGGAGGTGCCTCTGCATTCTGAACTTGTAAAGCCGTATGCTTAACTGCAAATGCCTCTGTAATTTTGCTGGGAAGACATTTTCAAAGACCAGTGCTTAGCAGATAACATCAGCTTCGAAGTAGATAAGCTGGTTGACTTCTTGCCTTTTAATGGCCATGTCATTTTCATATTCTAATGCCTCGGTTCTTTATTCTGCTAAATCAGGACAGTAAAAACTACTTACTGAATTGCGAGGCTGCTATGAAAACAGTCGTGGCCAGCGCCTGCCCCGATGAGGACCCAAGGAACGCACACTGTCTTATCACAGAAAAACAACCGAATCAGAACGCTTTTCTATTTTAAATCCTGCTACCAATTATTTTATAGGGTTAGAAAGACACAAAAGGCGCTGAATATGTTAACTTTGCCCAGTGCAGCAAGAGCAATCCTTAAGCCCCTGCCTGCCTACCAACCCTGTGATGGAACCTTTAGAAGCGTCAGATTTTCCCACGTCTGAATCCACAGGGCCACACAAAAATATTTTTTCTTAAAATAGTAACAAAAGTAACCTGCACGCCCTACATAAAGCTACCGTGCAGAAGGCCATTTGATGAGCAGGGGAACTGAGCCACGACTGTGGCAATCTGGGGAAGAACCGCGCCGCAGAGGAAATTACAGCGGGAGAGACGCGGGCGTGCCTCGTTGGGTAATATCCCCCAACTTCAGCAAAAGGCCGAGGTGTTGTGCGATGCACGTGAAACCTCGGAACTAAGTAAATGGACTCGTCCTTTTCCTGGCCAGTGTGCGAGCAAGGAGTACGTGCAGGGACTCTAACGGACCTCGCCGCTAGCTAGCTCAGTGCAGACCCGCACCACCCGGGACAGCCTTACCTGGTCCTGCCCCTCCTCACCCACGCGCCCTGACCCGGAAGTCCCGCCCTCCTAACCGGTCTCAGCTCCGGCTGGCGGCTACAGAGAACAATAGAGAAACGGAAGCTTGGTGGCTAGAGCGGAGCCCTGTTAACGACCCGGAAGGACTGGCTTCCGCTCCTGGGGTGGGGCCTTCGAGGTCATCCTTAGCGCCTGCGCAGTGAGGAGAGCGCCTCTTGCTGTTGCTAGGCTGGACCCGGAGAGAAGGAAGGAGGGTTACTCCTTTGGAAGGAAGGTGGGCTTCGTTTTGTTGGGAATGGTTGCAGAGCTGCCTCCATAAGCTCTAAAGCAGTGGCGATGCATGCGCTCAATAATGGGAGGATGAAATGCAGGGTTTTTTTCTTCCTCCCACTCTTTCTACTCGGCACAGACCTTCTGTTTTCCCAGAGCGTTACTTGATGCCGAGGGTTAGTTCTAACCCACCAGGAATGCCATTTCCTTCCTTTTCCTCTTAACTACTCATCCTCTGGCTATCAGGATCATTTACCGGAGGCCTTCTTTGCCTGCTCTTGGCAGGCTTAGGGCTCTGTTGAGTCTGTGTCTCTGACTCGCCCACTACACAACGCTGGTAGGTGTTTCACTCTTAAGGTAAATCCGCAGCGAATTGTACACTTGGCGAGCGAGTTATAAACTTGGGTGTAATGACTATAGTTACATTTACACCGGAGGTTATGGGAATCCTATTCATAATTATAGTCCAAAAACGTTCTCAGAATTTCACTTGGGTGTTGTGTTTCTGTGAACTTGGCTTATTTTTATCTAATACTCCTTTTGTCGTATAAACAAGACTTCTTTTACATGTTGACTTTTGGAAGATTTAAAGCCAAATTTATAGTTGACTAAGATACACACACATATACACATACATATTTGGCCTAGACCCCCTTGCAGATATGGAAGGCAAGTATCTGCTCAAGTCCTTTATATAAAATGTATTTAAAAATTTTTATTTATTTTAACACAGGGTCTTGCTATGCAGTTTGGACTTGTAGCGATTCTTCTGTCTCAGCCTCCCCAGCACTGGGATTACAGGCATGTGCCAGGGTAGTCATAGTCACGCCCTGGATTCTGAGGCCAGCAAGGCATAGCAGCACCAGGGATCCAGGGCCCTTTTGCTGGAAAGGCACTTAGACCACTGAGCTATCTCCCCAACCCCTAGAATGTATTATTTACATACACCTTATAGCTTATGCATAGCTTCCTATGTATCTTACATCATCACTTGATTACTTACATTACCAAATACCGTGTAAAAGCAGTGTAAATGGTTGTTACACTGTGTTAAGGTAGTAATGACTGAAAAAATATCTGTCCATATTCACTACAGATAACATTTTTTCCTCCAGATATTTTCCATCCATGGTTGGTTGAATTCACAGAGCTTGTGGTTATGGAGGGCCAGCTATATTTGCACTAACTTCTTGGCTCCATTTGTGCTCCTTGTTTTTCCATTTTGCCTCTTGTTTGTGTATGCTTTGTGAATCTCCATAAACTACCATCAGTCTTTCTTGAAACAAGATATATTAGTCCATTTTCTGTTAACAACACAGTAGCACAGATTTGGTATGTTATAAAGACATTTCCTTTGTCTCACAGTTCTGTTTCAAAGGTGAGAGGCACATCTGGTGCTGGCAGTTTCGAGATGGTGCAGTGCATGCCGTGGCAAGAGACAGGGAGCATGTGTGCGTATGTGTGGTCTGTGGGCACTGTTTTACTATAAACCCACCAGAATTCAATTGTGAAGACTATTCTAATGGCTTTATTGAATCCTTACCTCCCAAAGGCCCCACAGTTGGGTTAAATTTCAACACATGAGTCTCGGGGATACTCTTAAACCATATCCGAGTCCTAGCATAAAGAATAAAAGAGTGGCCGGTGACTGTTTAAGAGCTTTTATTATGACTCTTTTTTTTTTTAAAGCTATTGGACACTGTATAGACAGTGTCTTTTTTTTTTTTTTTTTTTTTTTTTTTTT